ATTTTTTGGCCAGTGATGAGTGATTGATCTAGTACTTCATCAGTTTGTTGAAAGATTTCAATTTGTATTCCATCAATTTCTGGATTTTTTTTTTTTTTTTTTTTCTGCCAGTGTCTTGAGCGCTGCTGGACAGCTTCCTTCAGGACCCTCAGATACTGCCTCCTGATGTGGTGTAATAGCTACCTTTGTGTACGTACAGTCAATCTCTGTATACCTTCCATCTTCTTTTGATGCTTTCTGCATCAATCAGTGCTCTGCCTATGTTGTTGTTGTTGTCAGGTGCCATCAAGTCTGAACTGACTCATAGTGACCCCATGCACAGCAGAACAAAACAATGTCCGATCCTGGGCCAACCTCACTACCGCTGCCACACTTGAGTCCATCAATGCTGCCACCTGGCCAATCCGTCTTGTTGGGGGTCTTCCTCTTTTTGTCTGAGCCTCCACCCTACCAAACATGATATCTTTCTACAGCGACTGTTCCCTCCTGACAATATGTCCAAAGTATGAGAGACGAAGTTTGGCCATCTTGGCCTCCAAGGAGCACTCTGGCTGCACTTCTTCCAAAACAGATCTATTGGTTCTTTTGGCAGCACATGGTACTTTTAGTATTCACATCCAACACCATAATTCTACGGTCTTCTTATTCACTGTCCAGCTTTCGCATCCATATGAGGTTATTGAAAATACCATGGCTTGGGTCAGGCGCATCTTAGTCCTCAAGCTGACATCTTTGCTCTTCAACACTTTAAAAAGTTCCTGTGTAGATTTGCCTAATGCAATACGTCGTCTGATCTCTTGACTGCTACTTCCGCGAGTGTTGACAGTTGATCCAAGAAGAACGAAGTCCTTGACAACTTCAATCTTTTCTCCATTGATAAGAATGTTGTTTATTGGTCCAGTGGTGGGGATTTTTGTTTTCTTGATTTTGTTTCTCTGCCTATAGAATCCTTCAATATCACAATCCCAGGGCTATTTCAACTTGAAAAATTTTTTGCCCTTTTGCTTTTTCTGCCTCCAGATCTTTGCACATTTCATTATAATACTTTGTCTTCTGCTGCTGACTTTGAAATTTCCTGATCAGCTCTTGTACTTCCAAATTTCTCTCAGTCGCTTTTGCATTTCTACTCTAGAAAGCAAGTTTCAGTCTCTTCTGAAATGCATTCTGGGTTTTTGCTTTTTTTCCTGTCTTTGTAATGACTTTTTGCTTACTTCCTGTATGATGTGTTTGATGTCATCCTGCAACTCTTTGGGTCTTCGGTCAGTAGTTTCTAGTTCATTAAATCTGCTCTTGACATGGTCTCTTAATTCAGGAGAATATGTTCAAGGTCATGTTTTGACTCTTGTGGACTGGTTTTCATTTTCTTCAGCTTGAGCCTGAACTTGCATTTGAGCCACTGATGGTCTGTTCCATATTCGAGCCCTGGCCTTGTTCTGGCTGGTGGCATTTAGCTTTCCCACCGTCCCTTTCTACAGACCAAGTCCGTTTCATTCCCATGTATTCCATATGATGATGTCCACGTGTACAATCTCCTTTTCTGTTGTGTGAAAATGGTATTTGCAGTGAATGTCGTTGGTCTTGCACAATTCTATCATGCAATCTCCAGCATTGTTTGTATCACAAAGGCCATACTTTCCAACTACTGGTCCTTTCTCTGTGTTGCCAACTTTTGAATTCCAATCATCAGTAATTCTCAGTGCATCTTGATTGCATATTTTATCAATCTCAGAATCAAGGAGGTTTGTAGGATTCTTCTGTTTCATCACCATTGGTTTGGGTGGTTGGTGCATACATTTGATTGATAGTGGTATTAACTGGTATGGGTATACCCTACTTTGTACTTCAAGACAGATCTCCAAATGTTGTTTTTAGCGATGAATATGATGCCATTCCTCTTGAATTTAATGTTCCTTGCTTACAAAACCATATGATTGTCAAATTCCAAATGGCCAATACTAGTCCATTTCAGCTCTCTAATGGTGCTGTAGGATCAGCACTGTACTGCAAATACAAGGTCCACGGTTCGAACCCACCAGCTGCTCCTGGAAACCGTATACTGGGCTGTTATGAGTCAGCATTCACTCTGTGACACTTACCAACAGCAACATTGCCTAGGATAGTGATCTTTATGTGTTCAATTTCATTTTTACAACTTCCACTTTTCCTAGATTCATAATTCCATTTCTAATTATTAATGGATGTTTCCAGCGCCTTCTCATTTTGAGTTGTGCCTCCTCTGCAAATGAAAATCCTGAAAGCTTGACTTCCATTCGCGTCTTCATGGTCAGCTCTACTGTGAGGAGGCAGCTTCTCCTCAGGTGTATTGTGAGTCCCTTCCAACCTGGGGGGCTCATCTTCCTGCACTACATCTGACAAGTGTCCTGCTGCTATTCATAATGCTTTCATCTTCTGGTACTATGTCTGACAGTGTTCAACTGCTGGTCATTAGGCAGTCAGTGGCTAAACATTCAGAAGTGGTCCTCGTCATCTCCTTCCTTAGCTGTCTTAGTCTCTCAGCTCTGCTGAAACCTGCCCACCAGGGATTAACCTACTGGTGGTTAAAACATCAGTGGCATAACTTATAGCATCACAATAACATGCAAACCACCACAGTGTGACAATCTGACAGATGAGTGACTTCCTATTTCCTAGTTTAATTGTATCTTCTTGGTGTCCACCTGACCAACTGGTTTTTAAAGATCCCTACTTATGCCCATTCCAAAGGGAGGTGACTAGTGGATGCAGATATCTTTTACAATCTTATTAATATCATATGTAACTAAAATTTTGCTGAAGATAATTAAAAACAGTTGCAACAATACATAGAGAACTGTCAAAAATTCAAGTAGAATTCAGAAGAGGACATGGAACGAGTGATGACATTAGATGGCTCTTGGCTGAAAGCAGAGAATACCAGAAAGATGTTCTCTTGTGCTTTATTGTCTGTGCAAAGACTTTAAACTGTAAATCTTTACAAGCTATGTATTTGCATAGAATTGGTATCGTAGAGCATTTAATTGTGCTCACATAGACCATGAGGCAATCTTTCCAACAGAACCTGGGGATAGTGAAGATCAGGAAAGGTATGCACCAGGCTTCTATTATTTTACCGTCCTTATTCAGTTTGTATGCTGAGCAAATAATCCCCGAAGCTGGATTATCTGAAAAAGAACCTGGCCTCAGTATTGGAGGAAGACTTGTTTTGCAGCCTGCGATATGCAGAAAGAAAACCAAAACCCTCACCACTGGACCAGCAAACTGATGGTGATAAATGTAGAAAAGATGGAGCTCCTCAAAGACTTCGTTTTGCTTGGATCCACATAGAACATCCATGGAAGCTGCAGTTAAGAAATCTAATGTCATTTTGCAATGGTCACATCTGTTGCCAAAGGCCTCTTTAGAGTGTTAAAGATCCAACATGTGACTCTGAGGACTGAGGTGTGCCTGAGTCAAGCCATGGTATTTTCAGTAGCCTCATGGCACATAACCGTAACAAAAGTGTCAGTGTGAGTCAGCAACATGGAAAAAAGATTGGCAGAGCACATTTCAAAAGCAGTGCGTGTGGCTGGGGGCGCTTTGTGCAATTGGCAAAAAGCCTCTTTTGTGTGCAAAAAAAACACATTACTGAGTCTTTGGGATCTAACAGTTTTCTCTTTCTTGACCATTAATTCTCTGGTGTTTCCCATGAAACTTGGAACAAAGTCCTCGTGATCTATTTCTGTAGAATTAGCGATTGAAATCCCTGTGGCGTTCAATTCTACTTGGACACACGTTGAGTCTCCATTTGGTGACAATAACTCAGCCTGGTTCAGTGCCTGAGAAAATGTGCTGCCAGACGGTACCGAATGTATTGTGTTGGTGATAAATACCATTACCAACTCATAGTGACCCTGTGTAATAGGATTTCTGAGGAACGACTGGTGGGTTTGAACTGGCAGTCTTGTGGTTAGTTAGCAGTACAGTGCTTATCCTACAGTGCCATACCAGGATTCGGAACATACTGTAGCCAGATGCCATTCCAGTGTGCAGTGTTCAGGCCGCATCACCCCACTGGGGACTTTACTGTTGTATGGCACACTGCCAGGGGCACTGGGTATTGACCATCTCCCCATCTGGTTTGCTTGTGGAGACCTCTTTTCTAGACCCATCTACAGGATTTTGTTATCCGGCATCGCCACTGTGAAGTGCTCCTGGGTGTCTTGCTGCCATTTGCGTGGTGTGTCGTATGTCGTCTGTAACAAGTCTGATTTTCCTCAGATAACACCCCAGCCCTGCTTGCATGTGTGCATGTCCTTTGTTTCTGAGTATGTTTGTGTGTGTGTGTGTGTCTCAGGACAGGCTGGGGGCCGTTCCTGGGTTGAGGGAAGCAGGTACAACCATTTGCTCCAGAATGCAGCTCTCCAGCCGTCCGAGGGGTCTGCTCCCTCAGACTTGCTGTCTTGGGTCCTATGTGTAGGCCTTTGGGTGCCTACACATAGGCAGGTTCTGGTCTGCATTGCACTGCCTGTCACTGTGAAGTCCGCCAGCCCCTCAGAAGCTTCCGGGCAGTTAGCAGATCGCCAGATGGGTTGGGCGATCTGCGCTGGGGAGGGGGACGAGACTGACTAACTGCCTTCTTTTCTTCAGGATCCTTTAACACCTTCCTTAGAGCAGCATCTTGGGATGGGTGAAGCACCAAGCTTCGTTGTCTCCTGTGGTCTGAGTTCACTAAGCAGCAAGCCTGCTTTCCTTGGTGTGTTCTCAGGGAGGCAGGAACTGCCTCAGTGCTCTCACGGGACACTACAGTAAGAACCAAGCGTTCTGTCTGTGGGGTTCTGCATAGAGATGAAGTGTTGTGGTCAAAGACCAGGGTCCTGGCCTTCAACGCCCTCTTCCCCTTGGACAAGTGGTACGTGTTGGTTACCCTAGGAGCGAAGCCCAGCAGTGGCACGCCCCCTCATTAGCTGGCTTGGAACGCTGTGGACCCGCTCTTCATTCTGTGTACTCTTCTTTCTTGGTAGGTCCAACTGTGCGGAAAATATCCGCAAACACATTCTTCACACGGGCAAGCACGAGGGAGTGAAGATGTACAACTGCCCTAAGTGTGACTATGGGACTAATGTGCCCGTGGAGTTCCGGAATCACCTGAAGGAACAGCATCCCGACATTGAGAACCCTGACCTGGCGTACCTGCATGCGGGTAAGGACACGACACACGCCTTTCTGGTTCTGGTGATTCTAAAGGGGTTTCGTGGAGATTGCCTCTGTCACCGCCCTGGACAGGGCCTGGACACCCCATGGGACAGTGTGATCATTGCGGCTGCAGGGCTGTTGAGAGTCGTTTGTCCGCTCTGTGTTACCCCTCAGCTCAGAAAGCACGTCTTTTCTGTTCTGTGTTACCAACCACACATGTCACAGAATCGTCATCGCACGGCAACAAAGCTCAGAAGAGCAAGGCCTGGAAACAATGGCAGTTGTCTGAGCTTCCTGTTTGGCTGAAGGGTTAAGATTGCTGGTATTAGGTACCTGGGAAGAGTCTGAAGTGAGAAGGCAAGGGAGCGGGGCCATGGGGCCAGGCGCTCAGGAATTCGTCCGTCACATGCACGCTGGGGCCATGCTAAGCCAGAAGTTAGAGACTCTGGTCACAAAACTCAGCATTCATCCTGTAGCCTACCTTTGTGTTTCACTAACATATACTGTGTGTTGGCTTGTCACTGAGGAGAACACCAGAATAGAGGGACCTATGTGCGGGCACCTAGAGACACTTAGGGAAGTATTTGTCTTAAATGCGTTCTGAGATTGGTCCCTAGATTAGCCCAGTGAGCGCAGTCTTCAAATCTTGCCAGTTGACACAGAAGTAGAAATGCTCCTAAGATTATATTAGGAAGTCTTGTGTTAGGGGTGAAGTGCAGGAGTCGGGAAAATGAGGAATCCACTCTGAAGGTGATAAAAAAGTGTACCTTTTCTAAAGTGAGGATCACCAAGCATTCTCTTTTCAGGAGAAATGAAGAATTCCACTGTGATGCGGTCTTTTCCATAGTTTCTTGTATTTTTCTGCTGTTGAGCTTTTAGGAATAGATTGATGTTGGTAAGCTTATCCACAGTCTATATGTTAAGGTTTAACCGTGTCAAAATGTATACCAGATTGCTGCCTGAATAGTGTGATAGCACATACTGTGCTTGTATTTACAAGTTGAGATTTTCATATTTTTCTGTACACCATTTTTAAATTCTTTATAACCCGTGTTATTTAGCAACATTCCATAGCAGCTCCTTCTTACCCAGTTGCAAAGAATGTGTGTGACTCATGCCAAAGCCCCCAATCCTTCTTCTTTCCAATAGAAGCGAATTCAGCACCATTTTGATGCAGACTGGACTGCTTTCTACATTCTCCACAGCTGTGTCACTGTCGGCCAGAGTCCGGTCGCATGTTAGGTGGAACAGTTGCAGCCTCTTCATGTCCTCACCATGCTGCCCTCTCGCTGATAGGGGCATTCCGATTTCCTCATTGAAAAGGGTGACCAGATCGTAGCAGTAGAAGCACCAGTGTTCTGTTAGGTAGAGCCTTATGGGATTTACTCTTTCTCCCAAAGGCCTGAAGCCATCCTGTTCTCTATTTTTAGCCCCGTTCCTTTCTTCCCCCTTATTAGTTGGGGGCCCTGACACATGTCATGACATTTTGTACAATAATTCATATTATGAAAAGGTCCAAAAATCTCACAGCACACTGATGGTGTCTCATTGGCGCTCCCTTAGATAAAGCAATTATTACTTCAACCTAAAAAGGACTGAGTTTTTTCTCTGACATGATCACCTTTGGTGAATCCGTGCTGACTCACCCTATTAACTTGTACTTCCACGTGTATCATTAAGCTCATCCATAAGTATCATCTCAAATTTATTTCCTAATATAGATGTTAGACTTCCAGCTCTGTAATTTTCAGCCTCTGCCCTGTTTCTTTTTTGCCTTCAGACTGGATTCCTCATTTTCCAGTCTCCCACACTTCACCTCTAACAAAAGACTTCCTAAAATAATTAACAGTCCAACAATTCGATGTTTGAACCTCATGCATCATCCCTGGGTTAATTCACTGGTTTTCCTCAGTGCCACTGAATGTCTTTGTTCCTTTCAAACCCCTGTCTAAATACTCAGGCTAGGCATCTCGGGTCCATTAAGCATAGTGAAGGCGGCAAATTTGGTATTTTAGTAACTGGCCTTTCTCTTTGTCTCACCCTGGCTGCTGATTCAGTCCTGGAGTTGAGAATGCTCTTAGATAACTTTGTTTTCTATCAAAGCAAACAATATTTGGATAATATCAAAGTGATATTTCTTATCACCTTCCTTTTTCAATAATAATTGGTATTCAGGCTAATCACACTGCAGTTGTTGTTAAGTTCCATCGAGTCGGTTCTGACTCAAAGCAACCCTGGAGAGGGTTTCTAAGCAGCAGCTGGTGAGCTTGAACCACTGACCTTTTGATTCAAACTGACTTTGCTGTCCAGCACATTAACCCATAGCACCCCACAAGGACTCCATTCGTGGATGAATATCAAGAAATGAATTATATTTTCATTCCAAGTTAAGCAGAACCTTTTGAATTCATCATTTCTGTTTTATTAAACACCACACTAAATGAAGTAGATTTGTTCAAAACCTTTAGAAGAGATTTCCAATTTTAATCTCTTTAAGAAAGAATACATTGTCTCTGTAATTCCTTCACTATTACTTTTTTTAAAAAAGCAAACAAGCATCGTTTATCAGTTTAATACTGTGGAACCCTGTTACAGAGAGAGAGAAATCAACTGGGTGAAATCAACCAGGCAACTCTTTCCTTCGGTCCTTCGGTTACTTCCTCTAGCTCTGTTGTCTGGTCTCGCCTCTTTCCCCATCGCCATGGCTGGGCAGTCAGTATGGTTCTAGCAAAATCCCAGTTGCATTCCTATGAGAGGTTCCACTTCACTTAGTTGTTGTTAAGTGCTACCAAGTAGGTTCCTACTCATGGCAACCCTGTGTAGGATTTCCAAGGAGTGGCTAGTGTGTTTGAACTGCCAACCTTGTGGTTCAAACCGACCTTGAGGTCCAGTGCTCTGTCCAATAATGCCCGGAGTACACCATGATTTTACATCCTTTTCATTACAAAGAGCTAAAAAGGAACAGCATTAACAGTACCTGTCCCAACTTGCCATGAGACCACTAAATATTCAGCATAGATCTTTTGGGCAGATATTATTTCCAATTTAAAATTTTATTTAAAAAATTAAGTCTTCAAGAGATGAACTTTCCTGAGGAGGATGCCTTGCTCCAGTGCCTCAGACTCAAACCCCTACCTGTGTGACGTCAGGACTGCTCCTTCGTTGTGACCCTTCTGAGTGGTACACACACATGTGCGTGTCTATGTCTCAGGACGAGGTATTGAGCCCCACATGTGTTGGGGGCTTGAAAGGTCAGCATTGATAAGATAATAAATTCGTATCATGGAAGCCATAAAAGTTTAACATTTTAAGATTTCAAATCATCTGAAAACACGTACAGAGAAGTTTCAGAAAGTCCTTGGAGAAGTGGAATAAAAAGCTAGAGGAATTTTTCCACTTTTGGAGCCCCCTTGTATTGGGAAATATGATGGTGGTTGGATGCCATCAAGTCAGCTTCAACTCATAGCGACCCCATGCGATGGAAGAGAACTGCCCTTAGGGTTTCCTTGGTGGTCATCTTTTTGGGAGCCGGTTACCACTTTTTTCTCCCACAGAGCCTCTATGTGGGTTTGAACCGCCAGTCTGTTGGTTAACAGTGCCTGTTTCACCACTGCACCATCAGGATTTCTCTATTTGGAAGCCGCAGGGTGCAGTAGAATACCAATGCCAATACCACTGTGTATGCTGTTTTCTCAGCTGCATCTCCACTGCTCAGTAGAAATCGCAGCGCACAGGTGTGGGTGTGGACAGACAGATGGGTCAAGTAAGTGAAGTCACAGTGCTTGGACTTTATTGTTGACGTACGTGACTCTAAGCAAGTCCTTCTGCTACTTTGTATTTGTTTCCCCAGTTGCAGAAAGAATAACAGGATCTAGTCCTTCTTTGAACGTGAGGTTCTAATTACATACACACATGGACATGAATTGTACATTGTAGAAAGAGATGACAATGTCGCTGAAAAAATAAAAGGTGCTCAGTTCTGTGATTTCTGTCTTAACAGTAGGAAAAAGAATGAAAGGGCCATAATGAGTTTGTGCATTGATAGCATACTATTAATAGTAATGGCACGCATGACTATATATGTTCTTGTTGTTAAGTGCTGTCATGTCAGTTCAGACCCATAGCGACCCTGTATAGGGTTTACGGGAGCAGAACGCCTCATCTTTCTCCTGCGGAACAGCTGGTAGTTCCGAACTGCTGACCTTAAGGTTCGCAGCCCGATACGTAACCACTATGACGTGTATCAGTTTGTCGCCTAAATAATCTATTTGAGTGATTTCTATTCTTTGTACACTATTTACCACACTCTGCTCTAAAAACTACTTAAAGATAAGAATATCATTCTGAAATGGTACCCTTTCTAGTGTTGATAGCGGAGGCTTCTAAAAGTTCATGGGAAAATTGGATTAATAAATCCTGGAACTTTTCCATGAACGTTTTGAAGCCTCCTTGTACATTAATTAATACTTGGTTACGTCCTTAGTGACATTCAGAACATTTACAATACAGAGTGCACAGTGAATTCGGGCCTGAACTGAGGTACCGGTTCACTCCATGGGTTGGTTCAGTCTGGTTCAGTGGATGATTGAAGATGGATTCCGGGCACATAGATCACTCAGAGGCATCACCTTGCTACATACGTGATCTTCAAGAAGAGTATTTAGTTAAGATTGAATGTTTTTCTATATAGAAATATATTTATATATATAATGCATATCTGTCTTGTGAGGACTGACGTAGTATGAGTTGCTGCAATAAGTTCGTGGAAAAATGGAATTGAAAGAAGCTGGAATTTTCCCACAAACTTGTTGCTGCCCCCTCGAATAATTAGTGTATAATTCAGCACCACCTTAGAACTTTTCCTGAAGCACCTTACCTTGTCACCCCAAGGTTACATGGGCCCATGACAGTATGATTACCTCATCAACACCAAAATTGTGATCTTATCTGGACTAGCATTTGCAGCATTCATGAACAGAGTTCTGAAAGTTAAAATAGTCAAAAAGA